TCAGTAGCCAAGGATGGCTGCTGGTCACTGGCCAAGGATGGGTGCTGGTCACTAGCCCAGGATGGGTGCTGTTCGTTGCCCAAGGATGGATGCTGTTCTATGGCCCAGGATGGGTGCTGGTTGCTGGCCCAGGATGGGTGTCGGTCAATGGCTCAGGATGAGTGCAGCTCAGTAGCCAAAGATGGGTGCTCGTCACTGGCCAAGGATGGCTGCTGGTCACTAGCCCAGGATGGGTGCTGGTCGTTGCCCAAGGATGGGTGCTGTTCTTTGGCCCAGGATGGGTGCTGGTTGCTGGCCAAGAATGGGTGCTGGTCACTAGCCAAGGATGGGTGCTGGTTGCTGGCCCAAGATGGGTGCTGGTCAGTAGCCAAGGATGGCTGATGGTCACTGGCTCAGGATGGGTGCTGGTCTGTGGCCCAGCATGGATGCTGGTTGCTGGCCCAGGATGGGTGCTGATCTCTGGCCCAAGATGGGTGCTGTTCTTTGGCCCAGCATGGGTGCTGGTTGCTGGCCCAGGATGGGTGCTGGTTGCTGGCCCAGGATGGGTGCTGGTCGTTGCCCAAGGATGGGTGCTGTTCTTTGGCCAAGGATGGGTGCTGGTCAGAAGCCAAGGATGGGTGATGGTCACTGGCTCAGGATGGGTGCTGTTCTTTGGCCCAGCATGGGTGCTCGTTGCTGGCCCAGGATGGGTGCTGGTCACTAGCCCAGGATGGGTGCTGGTCAGTATCCAAGGATGGGTGCTGATCTGTGGCCCAGGATGGGTGCGGGTCAGTAGCCAAGGATGGGTGATGTTCAGTAGCCAAAGATGGGTGCTGGTCACTGGCCCAGAATGGGTGCTGTTCTTTGGCCCAGGATGGGTGCTGTTCTTTGGCCCAGGATGGGTGCGGGTCAGTAGCCAAGGATGGGTGATGGTCACTGGCTCAGGATGGGTGCAGCTCAGTAGCCAAGGATGGCTGCTGGTCACTGGCCAAGGATGGGTGCTGGTCACTAGCCCAGGATGGGTGCTGGTCGTTGCCCAAGGATGGGTGCTGTTCTTTGGCCCAGGATGGGTGCTGGTTGCTGGCCCAGGATGGGTGTCGGTCAATGGCTCAGGATGAGTGCGGCTCAGTAGCCAAAGATGGGTGCTGGTAACTAGCCCAGAATGGGTGCTGTTCGTTGCCCAAGGATGGATGCTGTTCATTGGCCCAGGATGGGTGCTGGTTGCTGGCCCAGGATGGGTGTCGGTCAATGGCTCAGGATGGGTGCAGCTCAGTAGCCAAGGATGGGTGCTGGTCACTGGCTCAGGATGGGTGGTGGTCACTAGCCCAGGATGGGTGCCGGTCGTTGCCCAAGGATGGGTGCTGGTCAGTAGCCAAGGATGGGTGCTGATCTGTGGCCCAGGATGGGTGCGGGTCAGTAGCCATGGATGGGTGCTGTTCAGTAGCCAAAGATGGGTGCTGGTCACTGGCCCAGAATGGGTGCTGTTCTTTGGCCCAGGATGGGTGCTGTTCTTTGGCCCAGGATGGGTGCGGGTCAGTAGCCAAGGATGGGTGATGGTCACTGACTCAGGATGGGTGCAGCTCAGTAGCCAAGGATGGGTGCTGGTCACTGGCCAAGGATGGGTGCTGGTCACTAGCCCAGGATGGGTGCTGGTCTTTGCCCAAGGATGGGTGCTGTTCTTTGGCCGAGCATGGGTGCTGGTTGCTGGCCCAGGATGGGTGCTGGTCACTGGCTCAGTTTGGGTGCTGTTCTTTGGCCCAGCATGGGTGCTGGTCGTTGCCCAAGGATGGGTGCTGTTCTTTGGCCCAGGATGGGTGTGGGTCAGTAGCCAAGGATGGGTGATGGTCACTGGCTCAGGATGGGTGCTGGTTGGTGGCCCAGGATGGGTGCTGTTCTTTGGCCCAGGATGGGTCCTGGTCAGTAGCCAAGGATGGGTGCTTGTCAGAAGCCAAGGATGGGTGCTGTTCTTTGGCCCAGGATGGGTGCTGTTTGCTGGCCCAGGATGGGTGCTGGTCGTTGCGCAAGGATGGGTGCAGTTCAGTAGCCAAGGATGGGTGCTGGTCACTGGCTCAGGATGGGTGCTGGTCATTAGCCCAGGATGGGTGCCGGTCATTGCCCAAGGATGGGTGCTGTTCTTCCGCCAAGGATGGGTGCTGGTTGCTGGCCCAGGATGGGTGTCGGTCAATGGCTCAGGATGGGTGCAGTTCAGTAGCCAAGGATGGGTGCTGGTCACTAGCCCAGAATGGGTGCTGTTCGTTGCCTAAGGATGGATGCTGTTCATTGGCCCAGGATGGGTGC